AACAGCCAACATTCCATTAGCCTTCCTGGTTACCTGCTAGCTTTGTGTTTTGTGCACATGTAATCCCAAGATCCTTTGTGTTGCAGCTTTCTGTAGCTTTTCTTCATTTAAATAATACTGTTCTTTTCCCTTCCAAAATAAACAATTTTGCATTTTCCCACATTACACTCCATTTGCCAACTTTTTGTCCACTTACTTAACCTATCAATATCTCTCTGTAAACTAAAAATGAAAACCAAAATAACTGTGGATGCTGTAAATCAGAAACAAAAACAGAAGCTGCTGGAAAAGCTTAGCAAATCTGGCAGCATCTGCGAACAGAAATCAAAGTTAACGTTTCAGGTCCGATGACCCTTCCTCAGAACTGACGGCAGCTAGGAAAGTGTTGGTTTATATGCAAAAGACAGGGTGCGGGGCAGGCGTAAGGACTAAACGAGAGGTAGGGATCGAGCCCAAAGAGACAGGAGAACAGTTGGACAAAGAAGTTGATAACAATCTGGCTGGGAGGGTGAATAGCAGTTAATGAAGACTGTTTAGTGGCTAAAAATAGGTAGTCTGCAACTATGATTACAAGGTTTGGTGTGTGTGGTAGGGAGCTAAGACATGGGGGAGTTCAGACCCTAAAATTATTGAACTTGATGTGGAGTCCAGAGGGCTGCAGAAAATGAGGTGCCATTCTTCCCGCTTGCGCTGAGCTTCACTGGAGCACTGCAGCAAGCGTGAGACAAAGATATTGGCCAGGGAACAGGGTGATGTGTTAAAGTGGCAGCAACTGGAAGCTCAGGGTCTTTTTTGCAGGTGGAACATAGATGTTCCATGAAATGGTCACCCAGTCTATGCTTCATTTCCTTAATGTAGCAGAGACCACATTGTAAGCAGCAAATGTAGTAGACTCGATTGTGGGAAATGTAGGTAAAGTGCTGCTTCGCCTGAAAGGTATGTTTGGGCCTTTGGATACTGAGGAGGGAGGAAGTAAATGGGCATGTGTTATACCTTTGGCGGTTGCAGGGGAAGGTATGTGGGGCTGTGGGGTGGGGCTGGTGGTGGTGGTGATAGTGTTGGGCATGAGGGAAGAATGAACCAGGGTGTCCCAGAGGAAACGGTCCCTGTTTAAGGCCGACAAAGGACGGGAGGGGAATAAGTGTCTGGCGGTGGCATCTCGCTGGAGGTGGTGGAAATGGCGGCTGATGATCTTCTGGATGTGGATACTGGTGGGATGGCAGGTAAGGACAAGAGGAACCCAATCACAGTTGCGGGAGGAAAGAGGGGTTGAGGGTGGAAATGCGGGAGATGGATTGGACCCGGTTGACGGACCTGTCAACCATGGTGCTGGGGAATCCAAATATCTGTCTCAGGCTTGCTCTAGTGCTCCAGCAAAACTCAGCACAAGCTGGAAGAACAACACTTCATTTTCCACTTGGGAACTCTGCAGCCCTCTGGACTCTGTACAGAGTTCAATAATTTCAGGGCCTCAACTCCCCCATGTCCTAGCCCCCTACCACACACTCCAGGCCTTGTTATCACAGTCTGCCATTACACACGACCTATTGTTAACCACTAACAGTCTCCGTCAACAGCTATTCACCCTCCCAGCCAGACAGTTATCAACTCCTCTGTCTGAGCAACTGTTGTCCTCTCTCCTTGGGCTCTATCCCTATCAATTATTTACTTCTTATCCCCTCCCCCACCCTTATCTTCTGCATATAAACCAACATTTTCTAGCTACCATCAGTTCTGAGGAAGGATCACCAGACCCGGAATGTTAACTTTGATTTCTCTTCACAGATACTGCCAAACCTGCTGCGCTTTTGCAGCAATTTCTACTTTCATTTCTTTGTAAACTGTTTGCCATCATCTTACAAGCTGCCCATACACCTACTTTAGTGTTGTCTGCAAATTTAGCTACAGTATATTCACTTCCTTCCACAAAGTCATTAATATATATTGTAAACCATTACGGTCCCAGTCCTGACCCGTGTCCACTACTGATCTTGGATCACCAATCTGAAAAAGAATCCCTATCCCCATCTACTGTTTCCTACCCATGAACGAATTCTCTATCTATGTCAATACACTACCTTTAATATAGAGGGCTCTTATCTTAGGACTTAAAACTTTTGTGAGGTAACACATTGAACATTTTTTGGAAGTCCAAATAGGACACATCTACAGGTTCCCTCTATCCACTGTGGCTGTGATTTCTTCCAAAATCTCCATTAAATTAGTCAGACATGACTTCCATTTCACGAATTCGTGCTAATTCTGCTTCATTAGATTATAATTTTCTCAATGTTCTGCTATTACTTCCTTCATAATTAATTCCAATACTTCTCCAACAATTGATATTTTTAATTCATTCATGGGATGTGGACGTCACTAGCAGGCCAGCATTTATTGCCTGTCCTTAGTTGCCTTGAGACAGTGGTGGCAAGTTGCCTCCTTGAACTGCTGCAGTCCACCTGATGACAGTGAACACTACAATTCTGTTAAGTAGGGAATTCCATGATTTTGACACAGCAATTGTGAAGGAAGTGTGACATGTTTTCAAGTCAGAATGGGGAGAGACTTGAAGGGGAACTTGCAGGTGGTGGTCCATATCCTTCCATCTAGAAGTGGTCACGGGTTTGGAAGGTGCTGTCTGAGGATCTTTGCTGAATTTCTGCAGTGCATCTTGTAGATTGCTCAGCAACAGTAGCGTGAGCATCGGTGGAGTGAGTGGATGTAGTGTCTATCAGGTGACTGCTTTGTCTTGGTTGGTGTCGAGCTTCTTGAGTGTTGTTGGAGTTACACCCATTCAGACAAGTGGAGAGTATTCCAAAACGCTCCTAACTTGTGCCTTGTAGATGATAGAAAGGCTTTAGGGAGTCAGGTGGTGAATAACTCACTGCAGTATTTCTAGCCTATGACCTGGTCTTATAGCCACTATATTTATGTGCCGAGTCTAGTTGAGTTTCTGGTCAATAGTAATGTCCAGGATGTAGGTAGTGGGAGATTCAGTGATGGTAACAGCATTGAATGTTAAGGGATGGTGGTTAGATTGTCTCTTACTGGTGATGGCATCTGTGTAGCGTGAAAGTTACTTGCCACTTGTCAGCGCAGGTATGGATATTGTCCAGATCTTGCCACATTTGACATGGATTGCTTCAGTATCTTAGTCAGTCATCGAAAATAGTACTGAACATTGCACAAATCAGTGAACATCCCCACTTCTAAGCTTATGATGGGGTGGGGAATTGTTCATGAAGCAGCTGAGATGATTGTGCCGAGGACACTGCCCTGAAGAACTCCTGCAGGGATGTCCTCGGGCTGAGATGACTGATCTCTAAATACCACAACTTTAGTGATTAGAACAAGAGCCAGGTGGATCATTGACTATGAGATCCTTGACTGGGGCAGTTAACCTGGGGATATGTATCAGAGATTCAGAGAATCTCACTTCTCTAGGGACTGGCTCTGGCTCTGAGCTAGCTGGTCAAAGTCCATTTACTGTACACCTCTAAGTAAGGGTGATCTGGTGATGGGATACCGGCCTCCGTGCAGTTATTTCAGTGGCGTTGAAAGAAAGACGTGCTCTTGAAGAAATTCACTTGCAACAGCCATCTTTAAGTTGGGGTAAGCATTTCTGGTATCATGAGTTCTGAGGAAGGGTCACTGGAAACGAAACGTTAACTCTGATTTTTCTTCAGAGATGGTGTCAGACCTGCTGAACTTTTCCAGCAACTTCTGTTTTTGTTCCTGGCATCATACCAGCAAATGACAATGGGGAAGATGAAAACCAACGAATAATCCTTCTGACTGCATGTGGACCCACAGCATTTTCGGTTATTGGGAGCCTAACTTTCCCTGAGGCAACAGATACTAAAGTTGATGGATTTAGTTAAAGAATATTATGACCATAACCCTCCTTTAATTCTGAGACACTAATCGGTTTTATTCAGCAGTTAGTGAATCAGGGGAGTCCATATTGGGATGTTTGACAATGTTAAGACTGCTGGCAGAGATATGTGATTTTTGGGTAACCCTGAATGAGATGCTGAGGCACCGTTTGGTATGTGGGATTAATGACTTAACCATGCAAATGCACCAACTACCTCAAGCCCAAGTGAACCTCAAACAGGAACAACTCGCTTTGTCCAATAAATATTGTATTTATAAGAGTAGGTCAGAGGCTAGGAACACTACAGCAAGCAACTCACCTCCTGTCTACCAGCTACAAGGCACAAGTCAAGAGTGTGATGGAATATTCTCGACTGGCCTGGCTGAGTGCAACTCCAACAATACAAAAGCCATTAGACACCACTGATAACAGCCCACATCACTGGTACCTCATCCACCACCTTCCACATTTACTCTTTACGTACCACCTATAAAATGCACTGTAGCAATTTTCCCCAGGATCCTCCAATGGCATCTTCCAAACACATAAAATCAGACAGAAGGACAGGGGAACCAAATAGTCAGGAGCACCACCACATGAAAGTTATCCCCAAGCTGTACACTATTCTGACTTTGAACAAAATCACTGAACAAAATCCTGGAACTGTTTCTAACAGGACTTTAGATGTACTTATAGCATAAGGACTTCAGCAAGTCAAAAAGCCGATCACTATCGCTTCATCTTGGCAATTAGACATGGGTATCAAATGTTGCCAACTCCATAACATTCACATCTGTGAACAAACAAAAAAAACTTAAATGAATGTAAATGCTAAGCAATAAACAAGGACATTGCTTGCCACCAGTCTGTTCTCTTGATAAACACCTTTTATTATAACTAAATACGAGTAGTGAAATGATCAAGAAGTAAAGTTAGAGAACTTGTGCTGCATGGTAATTAAAACTCAGACATCTACAGTGGTGCAAACATAATTTAAGGTATGAAATCGTCTAATTTATATTTGAATCTCAAAGTTATATGAATATGAATGTATCACAACATAACCTGGCTTAGAAATGAAGGAACAGACTTGCAAAAAATGTACTTTATTGTTTGTTCTTACTTGTCCCTCTGTATTTTCTCGAATGGTTTCAATAGCTTTTTCAAGCTGGGTCTTCTCTTTTATAAGATCATTGCTGAGTATTTCAACATTTTGCATACTTTGTTTTTCATTGCTGATCTCTCCCTGGAGTCTCTCCATCTAAAACAGGAAGAAATAACATTGCTTTTTAATTGTCAAATTCAACTCGACAGCTAATCATCAGTAAGGCAGTGCTTCCCAGATTTTTCCCATTGTGATCCCATTTTGGTGCTTGACAATTGCCATGACATCAGACCAAAGGTTGTTGTCACTGAGAACTTAAGAGTTTGAGAAGTATTGCAGTGAAGAATTCAAGTTTTTTGTTTGTAAATAATGAACCAAAAAATCTTATGAGTCCTCATTGAAGCGAAGTCTGTCACTTACATCATCACCCCCTTCACGTTACCATTGATGAAATCCCCACTATCCATATTCTGAGGATTACTATTGATCAACAGGTGAACTGGATGAGCATTAAAAATGCTGTGGTTGCAAGAGCAGGTCAGAGAACAGGAATCATGTAACAAGTAACTCAACTCCTGACTACAGACACTCAGTAGCTGTATCCCATCTACAAGATGCACTACAGGATTCATCAATGCTCCTTAAACGCCACCTTCCAAACCCACACTCACTACCATCAAGAAAGATAATGCAGCAGATGCACAGGAACACCACACAAGTTTCCTCCAAGGCACTCACCGTCCTTTCTTGGAATTATATAGTCAGTCCTTCAGTACCATTGGGTTAAAAGTCCTGGAACTCATGCCCTAATGGCATTGTAGATTTATCCAGACTTAATGTACTACAGCAGTTCAAAGCAGCAGCTCACCATCACATTCTCAAGAACAACTAGGGATAGACAGTAAATGCTGGTCAACCAGCGATGCCAACATCCTATAGAGGAATGAATGTACTGGTCTGAGCTCTGAACACGCATCCAGCTTCACTCACCTACATAGGAATATTGGTTTGACTTCAAGAGAATTGACAATCCTTCAACTTCAATTCAGCAGTGCCTACCATTCATTTTGGAAACAAGTGCTTCAGAGTCCTACGTGGAGTATGGCACATATACACTCAGCCGGTGTCAGATATACACCACCACCCTCTAAGATCAACCATCAGACACTGTAGTTAGGCCCTCTTTCCAACCTAAGTTGCAAACCAGCTTGGAGTGCAGGTTCATAGTTGCTTAAAAAGTGGAGTCCCAGGTAGACAGGATAATGAAGACAGCTTTTGGTATGCTTGCCTTTTTTTGGTCAGTGCATTGTGTATAGGAGTTGGGAGGCCATGTTGCAGCTGTACAGAACATTGGTTGGCCACTTTTGGAATACCATATTCAATTCTAGGTCGCCCTGCTATAGGAAGGATGTTGTAAAACGTGAAAGGGTTCGGAAAAAACTTACAAGGATCATGCCAAGGTTGGAGGGGTTGAGCTGTAGGGAGTGGCTGAATAGCCTGGAACTATTTTCCCTGCAGCGTCAGAGGCCGAGGAGTGACCTTTATAGAGGTTTACAAAATCATGAGGGGCATGAATAGGGTGAATTGACAAGGTCTTTTCCCTGTGTGGGGGAGGGGAGTCCAAAACTAGAGGGCTCAGGCTTAAGGTGAGGGGGGGGAAAAGATTTAAAAGGGACCCAAGGGGCAACTTTTTCCAGAGGGTGGTGCTTGCATGGAATGAGCTGCCAGATGAAGTGGCGGAGGCTGGTACACATATAACATTTAAAAGGCATCTGGATGGATACATGAACAGGAAGTGTTTAGAGGGACATGGACCAAACTCTGACAAATGGGATTAAATTACTTTAGGATATCTGGTCAGCATGGACAAGTTGGATCAAACGGTCTGTTTCCATTCTGTACAGCTCTATGACAAAGTGCAGAAAGCGCTGTGCTTGTTATTGTCACTTTCTTCAGGTGCTTCTCACCAAAATTATATACCCTTAATGGTGGTTGCATCAGACAAGGCAGATATAAACATCTGTGTGTGGCACAGTGGTAGTGACCTATCTCCACCTGGGCTGAATCCCACTTTCCCAACCAACTCAGTTGATTTAAAAGCAGATCTATACTACCTTAATGAGGACAAGGAAGACCAGGTGTCTGCTTAGTTCCATGTGCAAATCCTAGGTTGATGATAGCCCATATTCACCCCATTCCAGATTGCATGACCCCCTCTCCTATTCTCTTCAATTAGGACAATATTGCTGATTTTTATTTCTTCAAGAATCCTGTGTGAATTATTCATCATTGCAAACAAATGTCCTGCTTTAAGCTTTTCAGTCAATTTTTGAAAACCTGACAAGTTACCTCAGTCAAAATCCTCCATTGCTTTTTGGTGGTGTCTGACAGGGGTCATTACGCTTTTTTGCTTAATTGCCAGCTGCTGCAATCAGCCATGTCTGCATCGATTCTTACCTCATGGTTCTTGTGGCGTAGCGGTAATAACCCTACCTGAGGCAGGAGGGCTGGGATCAAGTCCCACCTGCTCCAGAGGTGTGTAATAACATCTCTGAACAAGTTGATTGAGAAAAACAAAAAAATCCATGCCTATCTGGGCTCATGACACTGTGGTAGTGTCCCTGCCTCTGAACCAGAAGGCCTAGGTTCAAGTCTTATCTGCTTCAGAGGTGTGTCATAACTCTCCATTCCCACTTTAGGTGCTCTTATGGCACCATGGCAGTGCCTCTGAGCCAAGCAGCACAGTTTTAGTACCACCTATTCCAGAGGCATGAATTACTTCTCTAACCAGGTTGATTAGAAGAATATATCTACCCTGAGGAACTCCTGCAATGATGTGATGCAAGGACTGTAATGATTGACCTCCAACAATCACAATCATCCTCCTCCGTATGCTAGGTATCACTCCAAGAGCTCCTTACCGCCAATGGACAGGTAATGGCATAGTGGTAATCTCACTGGACTAATAGTCCAGAGTCTGAGGCAAATGTTCTGAGGAAATGGGTTTGAAACTCACCCTTACAAAAGGAGGAAATCTGAATTTGGTCTTCATGGCACAATGGTAGTGTCCTTACCTCTGAGCAAGAAGCAAACTGGAGCAGGTGCTTCAACAACATCTCCAAACAGTTTGATTAAAAACCATCTCCACTCCTACCTCAGTGGCTCTTATGGAATGGTGGCGGCATCACAACCTGAGCCAGCGTACTCGTGTGCTGATCTCACTTGCTCCAGCAGTGTAATAACACTTCTGAAATGACCGAATAAAAATATCCACTCTACCTGAACGGCTAGGGTGGCAGAGTGGTGTTGTCCCAAACTCTGGACCAGGAGGCCTGGGTTTAAGTTCCAGCTGCCCCAGATTTGGGTGATAATGTGCGAGAACAGGGTGATTAGAAGTATCTACAAAATCCTGACAGGCTAAAAGAAAACGTTCCCAGTGGTGGTGGTGTCCTTATCTCTGAGCCAGAAGGCCCGAGTTGAAGTCCTACCTGCTCCAGACATGTGTCATTACATTTCGACAGGTTGATGAGAAAATATCTCCACTTCTACCTGGAACGCTCTTGTGGCATTGTGATAGCATCTCTACCTCTGAGTTAGGAGGCCCAGGTTCAAGTTCCATCTGCTCTAGAGTTGTATATTGACATCTCCAAATAGGCTGATTAGGAAAATATCTCCAGTCCTACCTTAAGGGCTCTTGTGGCACTACCTCTAGACAGGAAACCCAGGATCAAGCTTCTTCTGCCCCAGAGAAATGTCATTGCATATCTGAGTGAGTTAATTAAAAAAGCTACAATGGCATTAGAAGGTTCAGAAAAGGTTCACCTCACTGATTCCTGGAATGAAGGTTTTATTATAGGAGGCAAGGTTTGACATATTGAACCTAAATGCATTACAGTTTAAAAGATTAAGAAGTGATCTTACTGAAATGAATAGGATTCTGAGGGGAACTGAGAATGAACACTCGGAAGGTATTTCCTTATGTAACAGACTAGAACTAAGGGACAGCTTAAAAATAAAGGATCTCTCCCAATTAAGATTCAGATTTGATTTATTATAGTCACATGGACTGAAATACGGTAAAAAGTGGGTGCTATCCAGACAAATCATACCTTATACAAGTACATCAGGGTAATGGAACAGAATGTAGAATGTAATGTTATATGTTTTTCTGTCAGCTGTTGGTTTGTGAAATTCTCTTTCCCCCAGACAAGTGGATTCAGGATCATGAAATGTTTTAAAGACCAAATTAGATTGATTCTTGATTAACAAGGAAATCAAAGTGGTAGACAGAAAAGTGAACACTACATTCAAATCCTCCATGTCAAATTCCTCATAGTTGCCCTGCCACCCTCCGTAAATTCCAAACTGCATAAATGTACGCTAAGCTTAACTATGACCTACTCAACGACTATTCTGCTTCCTTAATATACTTTCTAATATACTTTGGCATACTGAACTATATTGGCTGCTGTCGTAATATTACAAAGGATTTAAAGCCTTCTCACACATCTTCAAATCAGGTCTCATAATTTCATCATCCCTCTGCAACCACTAACAACTTCATGAGCCATATAGCCTTATTCAGCATTTAATATTTTTCTGTGCATCTCCACTTCTTTTAGCCCATCATGGACCCCATGATGGAGGAACATGAAGCCTGTTTCGCCATTCAATTATGTCCTAGCAGATCTGACAATCCTCAACTTCCATTTCCTCTCTTTTCTCCTCAACCCTTGGTTCCCTTACTGAATACAAAATGTCCATCTCAGCCTTGAATATATTTAATGACCCAATTCTGCAGCCTTCTGTGGTAAAGATGTAACCAAAGGTTGGTTAGCTTACATGTGTCATTAGGAAAATGCTGAGTCTGTTATAAAAGCTATATTAACAGAGCATTTAGAAATACATACAATAAATCGAGCAGAGTCTACACGGCTACAAACTCTCAACCCTCAGAAGAAATTGCTCCTCATCTTTGTTTTATATAGGCAACCCTTTAATCTGAGATTATGCCCTCTGGTCCTAGACTCACCTGCAAGGGGAAACAACTTGTCCACATCTACCCTGTCATAGTCATAGAGATGGACAGCATGGAAACAGACCCTTCAGTCCAACTTGTCTATGCTGACCAGATATCCTAAATAAATCTAGTCCCATTTGGCCCATATCAGTCTAAACCCTTCCTATTATGTACCCATCCAGATGCCTTTTAAATGTTGTAAATGTACCAGCCTCCACCACTTCCTCTGGCAGCGCATTCCATAACACGCACCACCCTCTGCGTGAAAATGTTGCCCCTTAGGTCCCTTTAAAATCTTTCCAATCTCACCATAAACCCATGCCCTCTAGTTGAGCTCCTCTCCCCCACACCAGGGAAAATACCTTGTCTATTCACCCTATCCATGCCCCTCATGATTTTATAACCTCTCATAGGTTACCCCTCAGCATCCGATGCTCTAGGGAAAGTAGCTCCAGCCTATTCAGCCTCTCCCTACAGCTCAAACCCTCTAACCCCAACATCCTTGTAAATCTTTTCTGAGCCCTATCAAGTTTCACAACATCCTTCCTATAGAGGAGACCAGAATTGCACAGAGGATTCCAAAAAAGTGGCCTAATCAATGTCCAGTCCCCTAAGAATCTTGTAAGTTTCAGTGATGTCACCTCTCATTCTTCTAAACTCCAATGATCACAGGCCCAGCCTGCTCAACTTCTCCACATAATCCATACCTGGGATCAACCTGGTAAGCCTTCCCCGAACAGCCCAACTGCCAGTTTATCATTCCTTAGATAAAGAGGCCAAAGTTGCCCAGTATTCTAGATGCAATCTGACGAGTGCCTTACATAGTTTTAGCAAGAGTTCCCCTAATTTTATACTCCACTTCCTTTGAAGTGAAGGCCAACATTGCATTTTTCTCCCTTATTACCTGCTGGACTTCGATGCTAGCCTTGCACAAGGATTCCCAAATCACTTTGTATTATAGCCTTCTGCAGTATTTCTCCATTTAAATATTACTCAGGCCTTCTATTCTTCCTGCCAAAGTGCATTTTGCCACACTATATTTCAATTGCTAAGGTTTGCAGAAGACTTAACCTGTCTATATCCATCTGTAGACACTGTGGTATCCTCACCATTTGCCTTCTGACCTATTTTGGGTCATCTGCAAACTTGGCTATAATACATTCATTTTTCTCACCCAAGCCATTTATACTGTAAATGATTATGGCACCAGCTCTGATCCCTGTGGCACTTCACTATCTACAGGTTACCATCCTGAAAATTCCCTCCTTATTGCAACTCTGTTTTCTTTTCGTTAAAGAATCCTCTATCCATTCTAATATATTTCCTCTAACACAATAGGCTCTCATCTTATTAAGCAGCCTCATGTGTGGTACCTGATCAAACACTTTCTGGAAATCCAAATATATTATAGCCATTGCTTTCCTTTGTCTAAAATGTCATTCCCTCTTCAAAGAATTTTATTAAATTTGTCAGACATGATCTCTCCTTTGTGAGGCCATGCAGACTCTGTTTGATTATTTTATGTATTTCTAAATGCTCTGTTATTACATCCTTTATAATAGACCCAGCATTTTCCCAATGACAGACGCAAGCTAACCAACTTATACTTACTTAGTTTGCTTCCTCTTTTTGAGTAAAAGTATTATATTTGGCAGCTTCCCAATCCTCTGGGAAACTTCTAGAATCTAGGAATTATTGGAAGATTATTAGTGCATCCACTATCTCTCTAGCTACTTCCTTTAATATGCTAGGACATACCCAATCAGGTCCAGTCGACTTCAATCTTTAGCCCTGTTAGATTTCCTAGCATTTCTTCTCTAGTGACAGGTAGTTTATTTTCTCTCCTCTTTTGACCCCTTGATTACACAGCATTTTTGGAATGCTATTAGCATCTTCTACCTTGACGAATTGATGCAAAGTATTTACTCAACTCCTCTGCCACTTCCTGGTTCCATATAATTATTTCTCCAGTCTCATTCTCTTACGGGCCCATGGTCACTTTGGCATCTTTCTTCCCTTTTATATGTTTACAGAAGCTCTTGCGGTTTGTTTTAACATTAATCGCAAGTTTATCACCAGAGTTTATTTTCTTCCTAGTTTTGGTATTCCCAAACCTCTGCCTTCCCACTCATCTGTGCCTCATGATGTCTTTTCTTTCAATTTGACATTATCCTTAACTTTCTTGACTAACCATGGTTGGATTATTCTTTTCCTGGAGTCCTTCTTTCTTACTGGGGTATATCTTTGTTGTGAACCATGAACTATTTGCTTAAACATATGCCATTATTCCTTAACCATCTACTGTTAAGATTCCTTTTGTAGGCACTACATCCTTCCTTCACTTCCACAACACCATTCTACTCAGAAACCATGCTTCTGCTCAAATCAAAAACATATCCAACCGAAACAGTTTGACATTTTTAAAAAAGTCATCCAGCTAGTTGAGCAAATTACCAACCAGTGTTGAAATTGAGGCATTATTGCACAGTTATTCTCTTCAATTTAATCCTAAATCACAAGAACAAAAAGATAATATTTAACTCACTGTACCAGTCCAACCATCGATTATGAAGGCTCTATTATTTTAACAAAGTTCTTATGTTTCCTTCCCTTTGATTTTATAAAAAACATTGTTCTGCAAAGATTTGCGATGTATGGTCATTTCTGTTTGTTGCTAGATCATGGATATAGATTAATTTTGTAAGTTTTGAAAGCTCTGATTGTCCTCAATAAAATAACATTTAAAAAAGGTTCAAATAAAGCAGTGTGAAGTCCAATTCAACAGCCTCTTCCAGCACCGCAAACCCTTTAAATGTACATTTCTCTGGTTCTGGCCTTCTGAGCTTTTCTATTCTCTCTACCACTGGAGCCCATGATTTAGCCATTTTGGGTCTGGAATTTCCTCCCTGAATTTTTCACCTTCCTTCACTAAGCTTTTTAAAGTGATGCTTGAAGGTGGTTTTGGAGATGCATTTACTATCACTTTTACGACTTGATGGACATTTAATTACAGCCAGGCCTTTATGAAGTGCTGTGCAAAATTGTTTTATGTTAAGGGGCTGTTGGTACCGAGTTCTTGACATGGATTTCAAAACATATTTTGGAGCACCTCATTATAAACCACGCAGAATTCTCTGCTCATCATTTATCAACTGAAGACTGATTTTTGGCAACCTACAGAATTTAAATTATAACTGTTCACCTAACATGAATAACTATAATTGATGTCACGTATAGTTCACGTTAGCATAGACAACTGCTGTTGCCATAGAAAGGAATATAACAAACTTTAAAAAGGAAGGGGTGAGAAATTTCAAACTATAACCTAACGGAGGCTTCAGTTAGCAATTAATAACGCCACATTTTTGTTAAGCCAAGTGATATCACAATTCACACTTCTGCATATTTCCAAGCATGATCTCCTTTTGTGGGGGTTTGACAAAATAAATGCTGAGAGTTTGTTCCCTTGGAGAAAGATCAAGGCCAGAGGACATAATCACAGAATATGGGGTCGCCCATATAAGAAAGAAATTAGGAGGAATTTCTTCTCTCAGAGTTGTGAATTTGTGAAATTCAGAGTTGTTAAGTATATTCAAGGTGGAGCCAGTCAAATTTTTTTTTAAATCACCAAGGGAATCAAGTGTTATGGAGATAAGGCAGAAAAATGGAGTTCAGGATTATTAGATCAGCTATCATCTCATTAAATGGTGGAGTAGAACCGGTGGGCCAAATGGCCTACTTCTGCTCCGACATATTATGGTTGTCTTATGATATTATAGCCACTAAATCATATTATATATGATTTAGCTACTGATGAACTGAGACAGAAATGATGTTGCAGAGGTGGAAATAGGTGGGCCTAGTCAGGGCATTAATAGAAGGTCAAAAGACTCATGTAAGGATCAAATATGACACCAAGGTTGCAAACAGATGGGCTTCATCTCAGCCAGTTGCCAGGAGGGATAGACTTGGAACAGAGATAGATAACAATGGCTTCAGTCACTGCAATATATAACTTAAGGAACTTCTTGCTATTCAAATAAGCAGCCTGATAAATCAGATGCACGGAGACGGTTCCTTTTATAAAAAGAAAAGGACCTGTTCAGGACCTGTATCCACAAATAGCAAGCTTAACTCATGCCAGGCAGATAACTTTTTTTAAAAACAAATTTGTAGATTAAGGCCATTGCTGACTAGGCAAGCATTAACTGCCCAGAGGGCAGTTAAAATCAGCCACATTGCTGTGGGTCTACAGTTGCATATTGGCCTGACCAGGTGAGGGTTGCCAATTTCCTTCCCTGAAGGACATTAATGAACTCGATCAGTTTTTTTTCTGAGAGTTGTCAATGGTTTCATGGTCATTTGACTTGTAATTCCAGATTTTTATTGAATTCAAATCTGGATTCCAACCTGGGTCCCAGAACATTATCTGGGTCTCTGGATTTACAGTCCAGTGATAATACCACTAGGCCACTGCTTCCCCTTAAATGGAGGCTTGTATTACTAGCCAAGAGAATCTCCTCGGACTAGCTTGCCTTTCTGGTTTGGAGAAAAATGCCATATTTCACTTTGTACACTCAATGCACACCTGTCCCAAATTAGCTTGAGGAATTTACTTTCATTTTTGACTCTTTCTGGAGATAACATAAGAGCAATGGTGTGGGGCAAAAAGGCGGATTAGACAGGCAAGCATGATGATGTGTTGATGTGTGTCAGTTTAACACAGTCAGGATGCAACAGTACTTTTACAGCCCTTTTCGAAGTTCACTCCATACTTTGATATCACATTTAATAGAGTTATTAACACCTTTTTTTTCAGTCTCTGGTTTTCCTTTTCTAGCTCCAGGATCTTAAAGTTACTGCCATCTGTGGAATCCATGACACTGCGAAGTTCATCCACAGTTTTGAGCAGTGATTGGTTTTCTTTCTCCATCTTAAGCAAACGACTTGAGGTCAATTCATTCACTTCCTGGCTCAGGGATTTGTGTGCCCCTGCAAGCATTTTAAGAACAAAATGTATTCACATGTTAATGAAGAATTGTCCATAGTTTTTACAGCCACAAAACAGTAATTCCAACATTAAATTCGATTAAATTAGACTACTAGTGTACTTGAATTGAAATTCATTTCTGTCAACTGAATAAGTATTCTGGCCATTAATCATGAAACCTACATACATTCCAATTTAATTGTTTAGGTGTAGATCATATAAATAGTTTAAATATCAGGCAATACTTTTGAAAGCTTTATTTGTTTAATGAAACATTTATTTTGGGAAAAGTAAAGCGCATAAGGTTGGGGACAGTGTACTGACATGGATAGAGAAGTGGCCAGCAGACAAGGAACAAAGTAGGAAAAAAGTAGGGTCATATTCTGAGTGGCAGCCCAGTTACCATTGGGGTATTAAAGGGATTAATGCTGGGACCCCAGCTATTCACAATATATTTTAATGATACATTATTGATGAGGGAACTAAATGTAATATCTCCAAGTTTGCAGAACTGGACAAAACTGGATGGGAGGGTGAACTGAGAGGAGGATGCAGAGATGCTTCAGTGCAATTTGGACAAGTTGAGCGTGAGCAAATGCATAGCGAATGAGGTATAAGATGGATAAATGCAAGGTTATCCTCTTTGGTAACAAAAACAGGAAGAGGGATGATGATTATCTGAATGGGGATGGATTGGGAAAGTTGGGGGGAGGGGAGCTACAATGAGACCTAGCTGTCATTGTACACCAGTCACTGAAAATAAGAATACAAGTGCAACAGGCAATGAAGGCAACAAGTGGAATGTTGGCCTTTATAGTCAGAGGATTTGGTACAGGAGCAGGGATGTCTTGCTGCCATTATACAGGGTCTTGGTGAGATCACACCCAGAGTACTGTGCGCTGATACGATTCCCTTCTCCGAGGACGGAATCTCCGGCTTTGGAGAAAGTGCAATGAAGGTTTAGCGAACTGATTCCTAGGATAGCAGGACTGATGTATAATGAGATACTGAATCAGTTACACTGTGTGTGAGTTGAGTTTGGTGGCGAGGGGGAAAACTCAGAAATCTATAAAATTCCAACATGACTAATATCCAGGAAGGAGTTCCCAATGACCAAGATTCCAGAACCAGGACCACAGATTAAGGGTATGGCATTAGGCCATTTAGGACTGAGAAGAAGAGAAATTTCTTTTCCCAGACAGTGGTGAACCTGTGGAATTCACTGTCACAGAAAGGGATTGAGGCCAAAACACAATGTTTTCAAGGAGTTAGACAATAATTCTTAGAGTTAAAGAGATGAAAAAGTATTGGGTGAAAGCGGGAACAGTGTACTGAGTAAGATGATCAGCCATGTCCATACCGAATGGTGGAACAGGCTTGAAGGGTTAAACAGCCTACTATTCTATGTTTCAGCATTTGTCTGAGCGCTTTGATTGACAGCAAGCTTGCTTCCTCCAATTCTACTCTAAACCCAATCATTGGAACCTGTGTAAATGCCATCCAGAATCACTTTCATTTTCTCCTTCCTTGTTCCTTTTCTGTAATTGGGTAGTTTAAATTGAGAACTGAATGTTCCAAGGGGTCACTGACACAAGTGTATCAGTCAATGGTGTCATGAACTGCATTCCAATGGACTACCCCATTGCAATCCTGGTTTCCTTAAATTTAAGAGTTAGGTGACATTATTCAAAAAATAAAATATTGCAAAAGCAGAAAACTAAGCAAGTTAGGTAGCATCGAAAGAAGAGAGAAACACAATTAATATTTCAGGTTGATTCAGTTCAAAGAAAATACCGAAGGGGTGGGGGGTGAGTACAAAAGCACAGAAGTGGAACATACACAGCCAAGGGCTGCATCAACCACAAGGAAAGCAAGACATATTCATTGACAAAAACAGATGAAGGTCTCAGTCATAAGGAGATAGGACAAGAAACAAATTAGATGTCTGTAGGATGCATGGTAATGGCAGAACCTTCAAAAAAAAAAGCAAAAAAGCTGTGACCCAAAACAAAAATGGGGACAAAGGTCATGGTCTGAAGTTGTTCAATTTAATGTTCAGTCCAAACGTTTGTGACATTCCTAATCAAAAGAAGAGGTGCTGCTCCTTTAGCTTAACAAGCAATGAAGTGTCATCTGCGTTCACACACTCACAAACACATTCCAAAAGTCTTAAAGTATTGGAACTGCTCTCCTTTTAGAGAGAACTTTAAGTATCAGAGAACTTAGGCTCTTATATTCCTTGGGCGAGTTTCATGATGCAGGATGGGGAAATGAGAAAGTTGGCCTGCCACAGTTATAATATCCTACTGCTCTTTGTGATATGGCTTGTGTGCAAAAGATGCAGCGTGTCAAAGATTCACATACAGAACATTGCCTTGCCGTACTTCTGGAAGGCTTCCACACCATGGTGTATAATGGTCTATGATAATGCCCCATTTCTGTCTAGTACAACTGCTCAGGAATCCCATTACTGAAAAGCTGTACTGTTTCTGATATTCTTCATGTAGAATCAGTGTACACATCGCAAATAGATCCAGCAATAGTAGACGCTACCATCACTATCACAGTCCTACATGAACAATGCAGAAGGAGTCCAGAGTTAAAAAGGCCTAGCCTCTGCACAGCCTCCAGAGAGAGAAGCCACAGAAGGTTTGGTCAGGATACGGAGGAGGACAGGAGGGCCGGAATCCACTATCCTCACCGTCATTTCCTCCAACGACCAAAGTAAACTGGAAGTGCAGACTGAGGATGTCCCTGATGACACCATAATGGAACCATGCCATTTGCTGGAGCAAGACTTGCACTCTGAAGGAGAAGGAGGTTATCCCATGCCAGTGACTATAAAAGGTAACAGCGGTACTTAATTTTAATGCTGGCTAGTTCCAAGGATCCTCTGGAGGCCTGTGCGGAACCTCCCAACTTTAGACCCATAGATGGATTAGGATGTTACAAATGCACTTTGTGCAAGCTCACACCTTTTCATCTCTGTTACTCATGACAAGGTCAGTGCTAAAGCCCAGAGTTAGTTTTTCTAAAATCACTGCTTTCCCCCAGAAGAGGACCCCACGATGTTGGTCATTAATAACTTTGTGCAAATGCACAGACTCCGTACTGGAGCAGCAGGCAGGTTTGTTGGGAATCACTAGATAGACTGGATTCAAGGTTGGAGGAGTCAACCAATGTTATCAGTACTGTGCTAGCTCTGACATGCATGCATTTGGCCATGGACAAGATGGTAGCTGCCATGTAGACCCAAATCCAGCAGAATGCTTGCTGAAAATGCTTACAGACCTGTGTTCCAGCTACTGGTACGCAACTTCAAAATGGTAGGGCGACAGGGGAATGCTGAACATTGACCTCACTCTCAGTGCCCTTCCACTGAAAAGGACAAGGTGGTGGTAGGTACTCAGACAGAGGAGGAATCACAGACAGGGGCCCTAAAAGGATTCAACTTGGGTCACTGCAGATGTGCCAGGATCCTCCACCTCCGTTCTGCCTGCAAACCCCAATCCTGTGAAAGTTGCAGTTTTGCGGGAGGGGGGGGGGAACGTGGCGCGGAAAAGAGGTGGGGGGAGCCTGCGTCTGGACAGGACACCTTCAGCATTTGTAGGCTTCTAGCCACAAACATCCCCAGGACAGTCCACTCAAATTTTCCAGGCCACCAGGCTCTACTACAAAGAAGGCTCCTTCCATGTAGCTATGGCATGATAAAGGGAAAAGAAAAGGGACATAGCAGATGCTTAGTCTCTGGCAGTCCGCGGAGTGCCAGTGACTTGAGGCATTTCTCCTCGACCGGTTGCAGATGCATGCCAGTAATGTGTTCAACAGAATGTGCTCCGGCATTTAATCTAGAAAACCCTGGGGTGGAATTTTCTGAGCTGGCAGAGGGTGCAGGCAAAAGCCTTGCTCGTGCATCCTCTGAGAGATCTGTGGTTTCTTCCTCAGAAGCAGAGGATCCGATGGGTAGAGGAGCTGGTCCTTCTGGATTAGAGGCTGTATGAGTGCTGCTGATCCCTGCATAAAAGAGAGGCCATTTATTGTGTGGTAGAGGTGGAAGCTTGAGCATCTTAAGAATATGTTCACAGTGGTGGTAATAAGTGAACAGCATGCACAGCGCAATAAAGCTTGTTTAGTTGCTTGATTATGGAGATCACAACATTCCCACTTGAGCAATCACAGTTCATTCCAGCCACTCTGAGGAAACTCTCATCGTAGAGGCTGAGCAAATGATCACCTCATAACCACCCTGTTGCCCACATCTGTCTTCCTGGTCCTGTGGTATAACAGTTTGTCCTGCAATGAGTCAAAAGGAGGGCTTGTCTGGGATGAAAATGGCTAGAAGAGATATTAGTGGTGGTGCAGGAGCAGGAGAGGTGAGTACGAAGTGTATTTTCAGACGATAAGGTAACGAGACCTACATGAGTGGTGATGCTACATGCAAAAGTTAGAGTTGTAACCCATTAGCCATATGGGAAAATCTGTGCAGTGGCATGGTTAGAATGATTGAGAGATAGCAGACAGAAGATCGTGGCTGTAAATTGGGAGAGGGGAGTGTGTAGTGGGACCTGGGTGTCCTTGTGCACCAGTCACTGAAAATAAACATGCAGGTGCAGCAGGCAGTAAAGAAGGCAAATGGTGTATTGGCCTTCATTGCAAGAGGTTGAGTATAGGAGCAAGGATGTGTTGTTGCAGTTGTACAGGGCCTTGGTGAGACTACACCTGGAATAGTGTGTGCAATTTTTGTCTCCTTTTCTGAGGAAGGATGCTCTTGCTCTCAAGGGAGTACAGCGAAGGTTTACCAGGCTAGTTCTGGGAATGGCAGGTTTGATGTATGAGGAAAGATTGATTAGGTTAGGATTGTTTTTGCTGGGGGTCAGACGAATGAGGGGAGATCTCAGAGACTTATAAAATTCTAACAGGACTGGACAGGGTAGATGCAGGGAGGATGTTCCCAATGTGGGTGTGTCCAGAACGAGGGGGAACAGTATAAAGATTCCGGATAGACCATTTAGGACGGAGATGAGGAGATATTTCTACACCCAAAAAAAGAGGAGTGGTGAGCCTATCAAATTCATTACCACAGGAAGTTGATGCCAAAAAGGTCAATGTATTCGAGAGGCGACGAGAATATCACTTGGGCCGAATGGGATCAAAGTTTATGGAGGGAAAGCAGGATTAGGCTATGGAGTTGGATGATCAGTCATGATCATGGAGAATGTTGCAGCAGGCTCGACGGTCTAAATGGCATCCTCTTGCTCCTATCTTCTATATTTCCATGTGGCACTTACCTTTGCAAAGCACAAAACATTAATGTTTCTGCGATACTCATGGATGTTTCTTTTTGCCCTGGAAACTACACTGACAACTGGATGCATCTAGTAGGGTGGCCTCTTTTGGCAGTCTTTGGCCTTTGGAGGAAGTAGCATGCCTCTTCTGTTAACCACCAGGAGCTGCTGTCAGAGAAACCAGGTACCAGCTTCCCTTTCTACGCCCTGTGCTTAGCGATGACGGTCAAGCACCACAACCTAAACAGCAGTTTATGACTTACAGTATTTGAAATGGAGTGAAGCTGGTGTTTTAAAATGGCACCTATGGGCTGAATGTTGGAAGGTCCCAGTAGTGGTGAGCACCTCCACTTCTGCTGCCACACGATTGAAGGAGGAGGATACCACACAGTCCAGATCAGAATTAGTGAAGTGAGCAGCAGATGACCGAGAGAGAAAAGAGTCAACATAGATGATGGCCAGTAACCTTCCATGAAGCTCCCCAAGAAAAACACTTAGCCAAAACAGTAGAAAATTCAACCCATTAACTCTTCTCTTCAGAAATTCTGCAAGACCTGCTGAATACTTACAGCATTTTAAGTTTTTATTAGAATTTATGCTCATTCTATTAACAGCATTTTCAGCAAACTAACATCAATGGAAGAATACAGAATCAAAGTCTCTAGTGAAATGATCCAAAACTTACTTTTCTGGAATGGCTCTAGTGAAGTGAACAGACAAATATTACCTAGAAAAAGTAGTAATCAACGTAACAAGTTTAACATAACTTTGCTTACCCTCAGATACTTCAGTGGTCTTGGATAACTGTTCTAGTTCCCAACCCAAGTGTAATGATTCATCCATGCTCTGTTTCTGAGCCATTTCAAGACTGAGGTTTTCTTCCATTAACTCCTCAATACGCTTTCTATCTGTGTCATGTACCTTAATTGAAAAAGCAGAACTCAAACAAATCCAAGTAGCACTTTGTAGTCAAGCAACAGATTATGAACTGAATGAGAATGTTAAGGATGTTGGTACAAAGATGCATTGTATTTATAATTTATGAAATATCTATAATACATGATTAAATATGAACTAGATAGGAAGTACATACTGTATGTCATACAGAACTTATTTAATTTGAGTGGACAAAGTAAAGATGCCAATGTGACTAAGATATTATTCTATTAGCAAATAAGTCATTTTTACGGCCTCAGATTTACAGATCACACCTCTCTAGTTCAAACAGGCTCAATCTGCTTACAGGAATTGTCTTTTTCTTGACATTTGTACAATGCTACTTTTATCACATCCATCATGCCAGGGTATTACTTTTATTTACAAGCATTCCCAGGTTGTGAACAGGTTTCGGTCTGGAGTGCATTTGCAAGTTGATTTGTACCCACACTGGAGCAAAATGCAGGACAATGTAAAGAACCATCATAAGTGCAGGAAATGTTCACACATCAAGTTTTTAAAATTACACCAGTGTATGGGACTGTGTTTGTAAACACGAGTGTTCCCAAGTCGAACATTTGTAAGTCAGGGTCCCCTGTAATACTAACCGCAAGGTCATAAAACAAATAGGATAACAATAACTAACAAGAAGAAGAAATAGGCCATAGGGACAACCAATAAGTGCATACCTGATCTGACTGTGACCTTAACTCTACATTTTGCAATTCCTCATAACCCTTGATTCTCCTTTCCCCTCTCCTACATTTCCATTATGAAATATTTGGAGGGGAAGGCCAAGATCCTAGCAATGGGCAGAAGATAAAAAGGAGATAAACAGCCTAAGGGAACCTGGCAACAAAAGAAAGTGGACAACAAGACTCTGGCAGTAGAAAAACATTCATAATGTCCAAAGATTCATTAGAACTAAAAATAAAGCACATTTAAGATTAAATTTCTAAAACTGCATGAAATGAAATAATATTTGATAAACAAATAGAAAATAAAACACTCCCCCCAGGGAATGCTATGGCTGAAATAATTAAGTAATAAATGTGAAATTAATATTGGTAAAACGTGCTTGCTGTGCCACCTAGAGAAAGACCTGTGAAAGTGGATTGTGCGAAGTAGCAGTGTTACCTAAAAGGGAGTGTTTGTTAACACCCACAACTGGGTAACTATGCATGGGCACTGATTTGGAAACAAGTATACGATTCCAAAGGCAATACGCGTGTACTTTTGAAACGGTGTTTAGAGCTGGAGACTGAGGAAGATGATGGGGAATCATCCAGAGTGGGATGGGGGCTGGCCTAGGAACCAGAGGCACTGCAGGCACTTCCCCCTCACCCTTGGCTCTCCTATCCCCTTCCTCCAGCTGTACCCCCAGCCCCCCATCCCGGTCTCTATCCGACTCTCCTGGGTTCAGGGCTGCAACCCCCGCCAAAACTGTTTGCGCATGCATGATTTAAAGCGGCACATAGCACGCATGCACTGGTGTCAGCAAGCACAGCCTAAAACTGGAAGGCCTGAAAGACAAGTATAATGGCATTGGACTTGGAAAGATTTTTCATTGAGAGGAAAGTTAAAGATATTGAGGAACAGACAAGGAAGTGGAAGGAAAGCCACATTCAGTGAAGATCTTATTGAATGGCAGAGTAGGTTAATTGGGTCTAATGGCCTACTACTGCTTCCCTCTTTCATTTATGATGTCTTATAAGCTGTCAAACAAAAATCAGCACTCCGTGCTTTCTGCCTTTGGACTTTGTCCACTAAGTTCTGCAATTCTCAGTCTATCTCCTTTATATTCTGACCATCACTACGACTTCAACCTTCTCAGTGCAATTGAGGCTTTGTGCCTACCATTTAACATTTCTTATAACCTCAGTACAACCCCAAATCATGTATATCCAATGAAGTTCTTATGAAATGTAGTCAGTGGTATAATGTAAGAAATGTTGGAGAAAGGAAAGACTACTTGGTTAGATGTAAGGTCATCAGAACATTACCCCTTACATGGTTTTGTTGGAATGCCTTGCATACTAGTCACATCCTGACCATGCTGTCTTTATAGAAAACTAAGCCCTTCAGAAAACCGTAGTAACATCCAAATCCTCTCTCACCTCTGTTAGCGTAGCGGAGAGAAAAAAATCACTTAAAAAAAAATTATATTTGCAAGTGAACATCCCATTCACACTGGCTATTTTATTGTATACTACGTCAGTCCAATACGTCCATTCTGAAGATGGATCACTGGACTGAAATGTTAATTGATTTCTCATCATAACTGCTGTCAGATCTGCTGAGATTTTTAAGTAATTTCTATTTTTGTTTCAGATTTCCAGCATCTGCAATTCTTTCAGTTTTTTGTCTCACTTGCCAGTTTTACTGTCTTTTTTTTTTCCCCTACTGGGTTATCCTGCATACTGGCAAGCATATATAATGTACTTGGCATTTGATCACTTCTCCATCAAAAAAAAAAAATCAACTCTCACTTCACAATATTGAAACTTATTTGCCCTTTATCCACTGACAACTTTGCAAACCTCTTCCTGTATTTTGGCATAATCCTTCAGATAAGCAGCTACACCCCAACTTAGTGTCAGCTGCAAATTTCAACAAGATTACCTCTGTTCTGGACTTTACATTAATGTAAATGGAAAGCATTTATTTTATGTTGCGTCAGCCAGAGAAGTTTAATATCTGTAGAGTTTTATGTTTTGTAGCTATCTTTCAATCTATTCTGTTATCTTGTCCTTCCTTCAAGGTCATGTGACCTTCTGCCACATGACAAGATAATCATTTACTCTGTACACTCCCATATACTGAGTGTAATGTCACTGAAAATCGAGTAATTCTTTCTAGGTGAAATCTAGTAATCCTTTATATTTAAACTGCTTGAGTATAGTATTTGATTATCCACAAAAAGTACTTCTATCTCATTTTTCCAACAGGTTTAACATCCATATTTAACAGAAACTATCCTGCAAAAGGAAATTACACCTACCGTCTCCATATCATGTAATTTAGCCATTAACTGTAGATTCTCTTTCTCGAATTCATGCAATTTGTCACAACGTGCTCGGGCTCCCTCAAGTTGGTCTTCCAACATTATTTTTGTCTCTAACAAGATTTTGTTATCTTCTTTTAACTCCTGAAAATTTTAAATACTAAAAATATTAACATGTTCTACTGCAGAAAGTAGTATTAACTGGTATTAATCCTATAATGCAACATACCTCAGTTCTTGCTTTGTAAAATTCTACGTCATGTAGCCGGTCTTTGTACCGTATAACTTCACTTTCAAGCTTTTCAACTTTAATTGCTTTTTCACGTAATGAATCAAGCTCATCACGATATGCCCTAGCGGAACGAGCATCTGACAGAAGTTGTAGGTTCTGGTAAATAGATTGTTACATTTCAAAACACATTTGTGCAATTCTGTGAAAGTTTTCGTAAAATTAAGATTAAACTGGCTAAATTTAACAACGATCTATAGCCAGAATGTTTCAATTTCATGTTTTACCTAGGATTTATTGGTATACTATGATAAGATTGCAAAAATTTTAATTGTTAAATAATACTACACAGCGGAAGTACAAGAAGTTTGGGAAAAAAAACAATACCTATTCCAACAGTACAACACTTACACTAATTAAAGTTTATTTACAGTGGAAAACAATTAATCTGGGGATTAAATCTGTACCACATGCACACCTCTTGTTGAAGTCTTTTTAGTTCAACTTCCATCTGTTCCACCTCCTGTTTATAATCCAACAATTGCTCAGTTTTCTCCTCCCTTAAAATAAAAGAAGAACTTAAAACAAAATGCAGAATTCATTATTTGTAACTGGTCACAAGTCCGACTACAGTGCTGATACACATCCAACAAATCTGTAAAAATTCTGTACATGTACAATATACAAATAAAAATGCTGAACATGTATATTGGACGCTTTAGCTTTCATAACTGAACTGTGATTCAGAAATGTGTTGTGTACTGTGGATTATGAACTCCTTGTAAGTTTTTTAAAGCCACGCCTTTCTGCTCACACTTCCTTGGGAGTGTATTGCAATAGTTTTCTGTGTTCAAATTGCTTCATGAATACAGTCCTTTCGATTTTGTAGTATCCGAGTTCAGCAATACACAAACACACAGTTTCATGAGGAAGGAACAACAGCTTATATACCACAATATACTGTAATTTAGAAAAGATTCTAACCAAAACAGATGAAATAACCTTTGTCATCAACAATATACTAACATTCAGCTTTATTTTGCCTACAAGACCACATATTTGGCTGTTCAGTGAAAAGCTTAAAATATTTTTGTATGAAAATGGCCAGTCACTACAAAGGATGCCTTCAGTTGCCAACAATGAGATAAATTAAACTTTCAGGTTATCCAATGTTGGGCAGGCAAATGGTTAGAGAAGCAACTGCCTCAGAGCTGATGAAGGAAGCAAAGATAGAGTTAGAGTTAATCATCAGTTGTTACATGCATCTGGATGAAACCATCCCAGGGTAACCTGTTGAAAGAAGAATGAACCAAGAATGGATCTCTAGGGTATAAGACATAAAAAAACAAAAGCCATTTGAGATCAAGCAACGCATGAACTAAGCAATTAAGTATTAGGCAGCATTGTCATAAAGTTGATCGTGGAAGAAGACATCCACTACAGATTTACAGATTGACATGGTACAGCCCAGTCACGACTACTAGCAAAGTCAGCATTTATTGCCAAATCCCTTTGCCTTGTGAAGGTAATAGTGAGCAGCATTCTTGAACTTACAGCAGCCTGCTAAAAAGTGCTTCCGGAGTGAGTTTCAGGATTTTGACCCAGTGATCATGAAGAAACAGCAATATATTTTCAGTTCAGGATGAATGGTGACTTGGAGAGGAACTTTGCAGGTACTGGTACCTCCAAGATCCTGCTTCCCTTGTTCTTATAGCAGGTAGAGTTCATGGGTTTGGAATATGCTACCAAACTGTAACGTGGCAATTTGCCACAATGCATCTTATAAATGTTACACACTGCTGTCTCTGTGCACTAATGATCAGTCATTGAGGTGGTGGTGCACGGTGAACTGATCAAGCAGATTACTTTATCCTGACTTGTCACGCCTCGAGTGGGGTTTGGAGCCGTACTTATCCAGGGAATTAGTGAGTATTCCCTCACTCATTTGATTTATACCTTGTAGATTGTGGAAAGGCTTTGGTGGACGTAGATGATGAGCCTCACCACAGAATGCTGAACTTCTGACCTGTTTTGACATCACAGAATGTGCGTGGTTGGATCCAGTTAAGCTTGTATTCAATGATGATCCTCTGTATGTTGATTGTGGGGCATTTAATGATGGTAACACCACTGAATGTTAAAGAAAGATGGTTAGACATTATCTTCCTGGCAATGACCATAACCTGGCAACTGTGTAATATCAAAATTACTTGTTGCTCATCAACCCAAGCCTGCATGTTGTCCATGCATTGCTGTAACTGGGCACAGATTACAATATTGGGAATATTGGACAAGTGTGCTAATGATTGCATACTTATGATTTGCAAACAGCTGGAAGAGCTGGGCCTTGGACCCGGTCTTGAAAAAGCCTTCAGTCTGATATTGTTGCTCTTCAACATCTAAAACCATCTTTATTTTTCTTAGGTATAACTGCAGCCATTTCAGAGTTATCCACAGATTCCCATGACTTTAATTTTATGAAAGCTTTGGCACATCTTGATCAGCCAAATTCTACGCTAATGCCAATGGCAGTCAGTCACTCTTAAAAACTGAAATTGCTAGACCCGAAACTTGAACTCTGCTTTGTCTCCACAGATGCTGCTAGACCTGCTATGTTTTTCCAGCAATTTTTGTTCTTGTTTCTGATTTCCACTATCTGCAGTTCTTTTGTTTTTAACTCTCATCTTAAGCTTTGAATTCAGCTCTCTCGCACGAAGGCTGTATGTAATGAGGTCTGGAGCTAACTGGACCTGGTGAAACCCAAACATTGGGGAGTAGGTTATTGACAAGAAAACACTTCCCATCACTTTGCAGATTTCTAACCTCAAGGCTAACATCAAAATACATTCCTTTATGCACAAAAGCCCAGCAACAGTTCTAAACCTAGCTAACAAAAAAATCATTGATCAATACAATCTAAGGAAGAAATGTATAAAGTGGCAAAACAGGAAAGTCTGAGGATTTTGAACCATCTTAAAATTCTGCAAAGGAGGACCAAAACAAGCTAACGTGAAAGGCAAGAATGGGCTGTAAATGTTACTAGTCTGTAAAACAGAAAAGATTAGCAAAAAACTATATGAAAGTCCATTACAAGCGCGGGCAAGAGAATTTATAACAGTGAAAGAAAAAAGGAAATGGCAGAGAAACTACGCAAATATTGCGTGTCCATCTTCATGAGTGAGAATCCTAAAATATCCCAAAAATAATGGAGAATCTAGAGATTAAATGTGCTTGAAGAACTAGATAGCGTAAGTAAATAAGCATACTAGAGAAATTAATGGGACTTAAAATATAAAAGACCTCGGAACTATTTAGCTACATTCCAGAGTGTTGAAAAACGGTGGTTGTAGAACTGGTGATCATGTTGCAAAATTCTATAGACTTTTGACTAGCCCCTGCAGATTGAAAGGTGGCAAATAGAACATCACTACAAATACATCTGACTCATATCAACCATTGGGAAGATGCTACAATCTATAATAAAGAATGTGATCATAGAACATTTGGAAAATAACAATGGGATTTGCAGGGTCATTATGCACTTCTGAACAGGAGATCATGTTTAATAAATCTTTTGGAGTTTTTGAAGATATAACCAGCAGAATAGCTAAAGGTTAATTAATGGTTGTGGTTGATTTAGTTGGTCAAGAAACTTTTGATAGGGTTCCACACAAAAGGTTAGTAAACAAAAACAATAGCACATTATATTGGGGAGAACACATTGACATGTTCTGAGAATTGATTAATGGACAAAAAACAGCAAATAGGTATTGTGTTTTGTCTCACAGCAAATTTGGAATATACCTTTAAGGGACATCATGATGTCATCACCATATCATCATATGTGACCTAATGGAATAAAGGTTTCTGTCTCCCATCTTACAGGCTCTGTCCTCTTTCACACTGATGTACTGTAGTATACTTCCTGCAGTACATGTGAAATGCTTAGCTTGAGGCCAGGTACACAAGTGCCCATGATTCGAAATGACAGCAAGCACTCTAGCTAAAGTTCACCAAATTCCTCAGCACTACATAATCAACATCCAAGTCGTATAATAAAAGGTTGCTAACGTAAGCATCACATCATGATAAATGAAGATCATCAGCTATCACACTTCATGTCACGATGACAGTGAGCACCAGTAACTACTTATAAAAGAATCCTCATTGAAGATTAGAGCATTCTGAATCATAAAGCATTCAGATGACCAAATCCTCTACCACTTCTAGACATAAATGTTTCAGCCAGCTTGCTAACTCAAAGTTAAAATGCAGCAGTTAAAAGAAAACAAAATCAGCAGCTAAAAGGCTTCCTACTGACTGAAAATGAACAGCGGCGATTACAGGATGCTGTGAGTTTAACGACAGAGCCCTCCTGTTTAATAAATGCAACTTTTTAAAGCTCCAGAAAGTGATGTTCTAACCCTAGTGAAGCTTACATCTATGCAGTGGTCAGTTGCTTCTGCATTTTTTCCCTTTAAATGCCATGCCAGTGCTAGTGAGACATATTATTTGGCGTGAAATCCCTCCAGTGGCTGAAACCTGCTATTACAGAACTTTATGTCTTAAAAAGGCACAGAGCAATACTCACCAAAACTTTTAAAGAGGCCACAAATATGAAATAAAACAGAAGCAAATGAAGGAAAAACAAAAAAAAAGGACATAACAACAAACTAAGTAAAAGCAAGGAATAAATAAATCCTTACAGTACAACAGGATCTTGATCAATGGGCCAAGGAGTGGCAGGTGGAATTTAACTTAAATAAATGTGAGGTGCTGCATTTTGGTAAGGCAAATCAGGATAGGACTTACCATTAAGTATATAAAGGTCTTCGGGAATGTTGCTGAATAAAAGGGCCTTGGAGTTCAGATTCATAGTCCCTTGATAGTGGAGTCCCAGGTAGACACTAGTGAAGGCAGCATTTGGTACTCTTGCCTTTATTGATCAGTGCATTGAAAGTAGGGGTTGGGAGATCATGTTGGGGCTGTACGGGATATTGGTTAGAACAATTTTGGAATACTGTGTGCAATTCCAGTCTCCCTGCTATAGGTAGGATTTTGTGAAACTTGGAAGGGTTCAGACAAGATTTAAGGATGTTGCCAGGGTTGGAGGGTTTGACCTATAGGGAGAGGCTGAATAGCCTGGGGCTACTTTCCCTGCAGCATCAGAGGCTGAGGGGTGACCTTATAGAGGTTTATAAAATCATGAGGAGCATGGATTGGGTGAACAGCCAAGGTCTTTTCCCTGGGGTGGGGGAGTCCAAGACTTGAGGGCATAGGTTTACGCTGAGAGGGGAAAGATTTAAAAGAGACCTAAGGAGTAAATTTTTTCACGCAGAGGGTGGCGCGTGTATGGAATGAGCTGCCAGACGAATGGTGGAGACTGGTACAATTACAACATTTAAAAGGTATCTGAGTGGGTGTAGGAATAGGAAGGGTTTAGAGGGATATGGGCCAAATGCTGGCAAA